AATGGTTGGACTTGGTGATTCTGGACCTCAATTGCTCATGTTGAATTTTTTAGGCAATCATTGTATGATTGTATCTCAAATGTTGAATTTGATTATCATAGTTTCAGTTTGATTTGAACCTTCTAAATGCTTTTATCTGAATTGTTGGACTTGGTTGAACTTTCTGATTCTCTGAATGCTTTTATTTGAACTTATAGAATTGCACCCGAGATTCTCAGAATTACATGAAGTCTTAATTGAATTACACAGAACCTTTTGTCATAACTGGAGGTTAAGATTTTATGATATATGTTCTATTATAATTTAACAATACTTCCAAAAGAGAATTGATTAAACATCTCTCATATTTTCATAAAAGATAAACCCACTTTTTTCCCTTTTGAGATATTTAGACATCTTCCATTATCACTTTGTTGGGATGTGTGTTTGGGAATTGAAAATGCACTTTCCCCCCCTTTTTTTTTTATTTATTTAAAAAATTGAACATTATGCATTTCGTTTTGATTGAGATTTTGGTAGCTATTTACATTTATATTTTCTTGAAGGTGATTCTCATTTTTTCACTAAACGTGGGCTCATGTCGAAAATAGAGAAAATGTGAAATTGATCATAACTTGGCTTTTGTTCTTTTCTTGATGTAGATGTAAAATATGTGGTTACAAACACTTTAGTAATTGTATCCCTTTTTAACTGTACGAGTTATCAATTGATGTTAATAAGTTAGTAACAGAGGGACCTCAAGTTATTAGCTTTACTTTGTTCTGCTACAGTTAGTTCAACTATCTTATTCTTCTTTCTTCTATGCTTTTCTTATCTGTTACATCCATGACAAAAACTCGATGTTCATCATAAGGTAAATTGTGCCCACCCTGACAAAAAATCCTAGCTCCGCCCCTGATGGTTGATACCTATATATATTCATTGTGCACATCAAATTAAAAAATGATAATTCATCCAATTTTTTAGAGAAATTTTGTCCAGTTTATATAATCAATTTTTTCTTTTTTCACTTGTTCTATTGAAGATTCACTTTGCTTTTGGTGATATTCATTAGGCTTGTTTAATCCTACAAACTATTTGCCATTAAATCCTTAAAAGCATCATAGATAAAGCAAATATCGTTTGAGAACAACGATTTTATCTTCATGTTCAAACTTTTTTTGGATTTATATTCATCATTTTCTTCTACTTTGTTTTTTCTCTATTGCTGTATTTTTTATTTTCATAACACTCCCTCAGATTCTCAGAAGATATTGGACAAAGGAAAGTAATGTTAGATTACTTACCTTAATAACCAAGACAAAATATAAACAAAAACAATTTGATAATAGCATGAAGAAATAAGGGTTGAGAAGTTTATACCAGTCTAAAATCTCAAAATTTCAGAAAGAATGGTGGAGTACAAGAATACCAGAATTGAACCAAAAACTCCAATTAGTGCAAGAGACCCCCAACGAGTCTTAATGACTCAGTAGAAACTCAGCAATGAGTCAAGAAATTGGTCAGAATTGGAGTGAGTGAACTCAACTTACTAAAACTTAGTACGAGTTACAAGTATCACGACACTCAATAGTGAGCCTACAACAAAATCACCAGAACTCGGTGGAGAAACACCAGATCTTTCAAGATTAGAGGCGAGTCAAAAAATATTTCAGAGGAAAACAAATTTAACCTTAAGAAAAATAGAGTATCGAAGAAGATCTCTCAGATCTAGCCCCAAAAGATGCAAAATCTTAAAAAACCAAATGTTGAATTGAAGGCAGATCAAACAAATACCTTTTTAGAAAACAAAATTTTCACAAGAAACTCTTAAAATAACTTCAGATTTTAAAAAATCAAGTAAGATGTTTTAAAACATATGGTTTTCAAAAAATCAAACCCTAACCTTTGACTTTCCAATAGAATAAGATAACGAAGTTCTAATACCACTTGTTGGTCTCAAAATAGTTAACAAGTTTTAACCAAAAATATTTGTAAGAATAAAAATCACAGAAAATAAAAAAGCCAAGGACACAAGGATTTTTCGCCATTAGGGCCTGGATGTTCAGCCAATAGGCCTAATCACATATGTTGAACATCTACAAAGTAGATTATACTCTAAATTCACTAGAATCAACCTAGAATTTCTTTCGCGTCTCTATATTACAACATACTATACTCCTTACAATCTTTCAATTTGTACACTAAATACAATTAAGAACCCTTCACAAAAAAGTAAATAGATTGAATCATGAAAAAGAAAAAGTACATAAACCCTGGAAAAATACAAACATAGCACACTAAGCCAACCCTCAAATGAACACGTTTTGGAAGTTCCCAAGAATTACTCAAATCCAATGGTTGAGGAGTGGCCACATCCAAATCTCAATCATTTAAGAGTCAGAGTCGCATTTATACAAATCGGAAATCCAATTCCAGCAGTCCAATTCCAAACACACGGTTCCATTCGCTTGCTTGCCACGCGCAGGATATGGAGATAAGCTTTGCCTTGCCTTTTTGGCAAGGCAAAGCCTCAATTCACATGCAAAGGCCTGCCACAGCAGGCTTTGCGTGTGAATAAATAATGTTTTTAGCAGCAATTCTCGCGGCTGACAATATTATTTAATTATTATTATTTTTTTATCTTTTCTATAATTCTTTGTTTTTTGGTCTTTCAATTGTTTTGTTTAATATTTTTTATATTTTGATTTTTTTGTAATGTATTATTTTTATCTTTTAGTTTGCATTAATAATTTTTAATATACGTATATTACATTTTTTTGATATTAATAATAACACCGCAAATTTCATATGATATTTGTACTAACATTGCAACACATTTAGACAAAATAAAATAGACATTGCAATATATTTAATTCAAACTATGTCGAACGAATACAACAATAAGTGGTTTAATGGTCATCATCATCATCAAACCCATGGAATGCACCATAACCACTGCTACCAATACCAGTGTACCTATCTTGCAGAATATCGTCCCAAGAGTACTGTGGATGGTACGGTTCGACCACCAGCTGACTCCTAAAGGTGTGGAAAAATAGATTTAAATATAAGTATAGTAGAAAATAAAATAAAATAAAGGCAACAGTTAATAGTTATCAATCAACTAACATCGACTGTAATGTCGGACAAGTTCTTTGGTCATGTCCACTGCAACCACAAACACAAATTTCTCTTCAACTGAGACATGGCTATTTTTTTGCCAATGGTGATTTACTCCAACAAATGGTGCAAACACCATCGAATACTTGTTTGTGTTCTATGTTGTGTCGAAAACGACAGCATCTCTGAAGTAAACATAAGAACTCATGGACTCGGCATCAGCTTAGAAACAACTTGCGAACACCCATTGAAGTTGTCTGATGTTTTACAACTGTTAACTTTGCGTCACATCCACAACATGAGTTTCCACGCTTTCGTTCACCAAAACGGGCCACCAAATTTTTGAGTTTCATCTGGTACGACTCATCTTTTTGACCATGTTTAAAGCAAACATACTACTTCCAGACAAGCTCATTTGTCTGTGGATTCTTTCGGCTACTATCAATACATATGCTAAAATCAGCTAATTTCGCATTTCATTGTAAAAATTATACACATCATCGAGCGTTTGAAATTCTTGCCCGAATATCGGAATCCTACCAACATTCACTTGTGGAATAAATATTGTCATCCCCTTCCATTCCTAAAAATTAATATGAAAAATTATTTGGTTTGTGAAATAATTTAAACATTGACATATTTAAAACTTACTGCAAATGTAACAAAAATAAAATTAAAACCATGTTACGAAATTAAACAATTTTATAATGTATATAACACAACACAATTGTAAAAATTATACATATCATCAAGCGTTTGAAATTATTTTCCGAAAATCGTAATCGCACTAACATTCACTTGTGGAATAAATACATTGTCATCCCTTCCATTCCTAAAAATTAATATGAAAAATTATTTAATTTGTGAAATAATTTAAACATTGGCATGTTTAAAAATACTGTAAATGTAACAAAAATAAAATTAAAACCATGTTACGAAATCAAACAAATTAAAAATATAAATTTATATATAACACAACACATTTAAGAAAAAATAAGAGAGAAAGATTTATCAAAAAATTCAACAGGAAGATATAAACAAGGCTCAGAAAATAACTGGAGTGTTCAAAGTTCGAAGTATGTTTTCTTTTTTAACTGGAGTTGTTTTATAAGCAAAGAATTATTGAAAAGAAAAAAAAATTAAATAATGTTGTCAACCGCGAGAGAATTTTCTCGTGACTGACAACATTATTTATTCACACGCCAAGGCCTGCTGACAAACCTTTGCATGCGCACGACGCGCAGGAGAATGGAACCGTCCAAACATAATACCAATAATAGTGAGGCAGGCCAACATCAACAAGCATTCCAAAGATCTTATTAAATGCTGTAATTTTCGACAAAATGTTTGAATAAAAAATAAATATGATATGATATGAATTTTAAGAAATATATGGATAAAAAATAAATTCAATCAGCTTAAATTATTTAGACCAAAACATGCACAAATAACATTAAGCTCTCTGTACATACGAAAGGGCGGATACGAAAATTCAGAATACGAATAAAGCAAGAATTTATTAATAGAACAAAACATTTACATATCGATAAGAAATTCTCCAATAAATTCGCTGAACACAGCATAGTATTGTTCGTTATCAAAAAAGAAAACCTACCAGTTCCATTAATCTCAGCAAACAAATCCCAGAAGGACAAAACAATAACTTCCTTGCTTGCTCACCAAGTGAGCAACAGAAATTGCTCTTCACATTTCTTTAGTAATAACTAATGATATCATATGCTTCTTCTTAAAATGCTTCAACAGTTGGCTCTTTTGCTCAATACAGACGCCATATTCTTGTGCTCGTAAAATATTCACAATGCACCATCCACGTGTAGCTCGTAAATTTCACTACCTTCCACAGCACCAAACCAAAAGAATATCGTGCTGCATTATGTCTAAAACGCCTCACAAAAGTTTCCAGGCTGCAGTACAGGGAAGAAAATGAATCACTATTACAGATATATAAGATAATCTTGCAAATGAATATACAAAAGGGCACGTTCTTTAGAAGAAAAATTATGCACCATCGACTCCTTTTTGTCATACGGGCCACTTTAAGAACTATACTCGTTTTTATTTATATGCCCAAATTCAACTAGCTTGCAATACAAGGAATACAGTGAGAAATTAGTACCAGTGAATTGATAGTGTCACCCCGAAACTATCTGGAAATTAGTAAATTCAGAAGGGGGAAAGAACGAATTTATGACAATCCCTGATGTAATAACCTTGTTATATCAAATGGCAAAAATACCTCGGACCAACAAAACTGAAGTTGAGAGCTCCTCAAACAATATGATATAATTAAAGAGAGACTGTTTCTAAAACTCATTAAGACCTGTTTGATGTAGATTTTTCAAAATAGAATTTAAGAAAAGTGATTTTTTTGGTGAATGTGTGATTAAAAAAGTAAGAAAAAAAGTTATAGATTTACGTTGAAAATTATTTTATTGGTAGAATGTGTAACTAAAAATGAATTTGGAGATAAATAAATTTTTAAGAATCTCTATCAATCTTTTTATTTATTTATTTGTGGAACGGCCAATTTAACAAAAAGAACTTTGGTGTACAGCCCCTCACAATAGGAGCTCAAAGCATGGCTTGCTTTTTTGAACAATGGTTTTCACAAATTGATCCTAAAAAAACCAAGAAAATAGCACATGGTAAATGTTTCTTCGAAATGGGAACAAAAGACAAAAGACAAAACATAACAAGTCTTCCAAAACTGTAAAGATAAAACAATATATTCAAACCAACAGGTAGATTCACTAATAAACTATCATAATCAACAAAAAATCCACAAAATTTTGATCTCAAAGCAAAATCTTCTACCACAAACATTCATACGCGAAAAATTAAAAAACCAGAAAAAGACCAAAGAAACAGACAAAGTAATAAAAATTCGCACATTATTAGGTAGTGTTAACATTAACTGTTTGGTGCACATTTTGGGGTCAAGAATGCATTTTTTTTTTGTTGATGTGATGAAAAATATTATTTCATTGAAGAATGTGCAATTGAAAATGAGTAGAACAATGATGATGAAAAAAATAATGTGACTCAAACAGAGTTAAATTATAATTATTTTTTTTATCAACCACACATTTTTCAATAAAAAAATATTACATATAAACCCAAAAACTTTTCCTTATTTTTTAACCGCACACTTTCCAAAAAATTACTTTTCTTCCTACCATAATACGTAATAATTGGGCTCAAAGGGGCGCAAAGAATCAATTTAAACCCCCATTCAAGCCACATTATTTTTTGAAAGCTCATTCTACTACTCTTTTCAATCACACATTCTTCAATGAAATAATATTTTCCATCACATCAATATTTTTTTCCTTCTTTTTCCATCACATAGTTCCCATCACTTCAAAAATAAAAATGCATTCTTAACTAAAAAATGTACATCGAATAAGGGCAAAATAATGCATTGCAAACTTTAGCCTTATTAACAGTGTCAAAACCTTGCATCACAAAAGGTCAAATTAGCCAGAAATACCAAAACAAAAGGATTACTCTTAGTAAGAAAAATGTTTTCACGTTAAAAAAAGTACATGGTTGGATAATAAATTCAATCACAATTACAAGCTAAAATCAGATCCCAAAATAGGTGAAGCCAAATAAATCTCATCAAAAGTTACAAATTGCAAGAAAAAATAAAACTTGAACTAAAAAACTAAACCTTCATAAGTAAAATCCAATTTACACAAAAATCAAGATTATTAAAAACAGTGCTTACAAGGATCACTTTTTTGGCGAAGGAGGAGCAGACCCATGGCACAAAATAGCTCGACCGATCATTGAGAGGCTCGAGACCACCCCAACAAAGTACAGAACCATAACCAATCCAAGAACCCAAGGCATCAGAATGAACCCAATAAAAAAAGTCAGCGATCCGCACAGCATCAAAGCCAAAGAAATCCCCAGAAGCAACGACACAAAACCAGCCGGCGTAATCTGCTGCATCGACGGCGCCCTTCTTGGCGCCAGACGACGGTGCACCGCTGGAGATTGCTCCGATAAATCTGATAGCGTCGGTGGTGACCGAATGATTCTCAAAATCAAAGACGATAGCTCGTAGAGTATGTTGGATTGATTGTCCTGTTGACCTTGTGATTGAGTTCTCATCATCTTAATCCCAATTTTTTTTTTTTTTCAAGATCAAGAAAATATGAAATTGCACAAAAATATCCAAGAATTTTTGAAGGGCAAAGTTTGTTCAAATCGAAAAGCTTAAATTTCGAAATAGACAGTATTTGTACTTTATCTACCTTTTTAACAAATTCTGGGAATTTCACTGCTCGAATTACAAGTTGTGAATCCGGGTAGGAGATGAAAATGAAATTGGAATTAAGAGTTTCCAGTAAAGGGTCCTATATATAGGAATTCTATTGTATGTTTTTCTTTCTTTCTTTCTTTTGCTATAATTTTAAGGAATGAGTATAGAGAAGTAGGCGTCATTAAGTTAAGTAGGTAAATTAGCCTCGATTTGACTATCATTATTTTTAGGGATAATTGTAGCAACGGTACCAAATCTTTTATTTAGTTGTAAATTTTGTTCAAACCTTTAATTTGTGTTATCCAGGGTACCAAATCTTTCATTTATGTCACCACAGTACCAAACCTTTCAAAAATGTCGCAACTGAAGTCCAAATGGATGATTTTTGTTAGTTTGACTGTTAGTTGACCAAATAATTGACATTAATAATAATTTTGACTGATTTTAAAAAGTTAAAATAATAATTTTACATTTTTTAATAATAAAATAAATAAAATCAAATAATTAAAATTAAAAACACATTCCATCTTCTTCTTTTCCATCCACCCCACCCCATCTAATCCCATCACATCCCATCCCATCCCATCCCATCGTAAGGAAGACCCCCAAAAACCTATAGGAATTTTGTCGGAAAGTCTGTTGAAACCAAACCTTACACGCAATAAACTATGGTATTCTGTTAGAGCAGTCAAAATTTGGGCACAAAATGAATTTGCAATCATTAAAATCTCTTCAAGAACACCATTTGAACACATTCTCAAGCATTTCGCCTGATAACTCGTTCATTGAAACATCAATCCATCGTAAAGGCGAGTTTTTTGTCCAAGATTTGGAGATAATTTATTAGTTAACTGATTTTGAGTGGCAATGCTTAACTTATATAAATTAGGCGAATTAACAATGCTTTCTGGTAATTCACCTTGGAATCTGTTCTCATACAAGTTGAGTGGCCTGAGTAGCAACTGGGATTCCACCCACCAGATTAGTGAACTTGGGATTCCACCCGTTAACGCGTTGAGAGCCACATCCAAGTCGGTGAGCCTCCTGAGTTAACCTAGTGACTCTTGGATTCCACCCACCAGATTAGTTTGCGTCAACCATAGTACCTTGAGATTCGTGAGATTTCTAAGCTCCGGCGAGATCCGACCTTGTGAAAACGTGTTGTACGAGAGATTCAACTGTTTTAGGGTCGAAATGTTCCCCAAAACTAGCGGTGGAAGAAAAGAAGAAGAAGGTGGAGGTGGGGTGAATGGCGAAGAAGAAGATGGAATAGGTTTTTAATTTTAATTACCATTTTAATCTTTTAAAATCAGTCAAAATTATTAGAAGAAGGTAGAATGAGTTTTTAATTTTAATTATTTGATTTTGATTATTTTATTATTAAAAGATGTAAAATTATCATTTTAACGTTTTAAAATCAGTCAAAATTATTGTCAAAATCAATTATTTGGTCAACTGACGATCAAACTAACAAAAACTATCCATTTGGACGTAAATTCAAAATTTTTAACCACACATTCTCCTAAAAATCACCATTAAAATTATATTTTCTCTAAATAATGATTGTCAAACATGGGCTTAACGTATGATCTTAAAAATAATTTTTAATAAGAGAAAAAAAATCCAAAACATATTTTTTTCAGAAAGAAATTGAAAATGGTAGGTAAGAAAATTTGACCAATGCTCTAAATCGAGTAATGCGTTGCAATGCATCGATGCCGAGAATCAAGAATCACAAGTTTAAGTGTGTCAATGCGAAGAATAAGCGTCATAATGCGTTTCGTATTTTTAAGGCATTAAATATATTTTTATATAAAAAAAATAGATTTTTTAAATCACAAATTTATGCGTGTCAATGCGAAAAATAAGCGCCATAATGCGTTTTGTATTTTTAAGGCATTAAATATATTTTTATATAAAAAATAGATTTTTTACCAAATAAAAAAATAAAAAATAGGTGGCATAATGCTCCACCTAGGCGGGATTAGGCTCGTCTAGACGGCGCATTTTAGAAAAAAACTCATTTTTCGCGCATACCCCGAATTCAATGTGTTTTCTCCGTGCGTCGCGTCTAGACGGCGCATTTGTGCGCATTTTAGAACATGGCATTTGACTAAACAAAATTTATGCTTTCAGATTTTTAAAATAACAAATAAAGGTAGGATGAATTGAATAGTGAAATAATACTATTAACGATTAATAATGCTTTTGTTATATGAAAAGTCAAGTAATAATTTGCTTTAAGAGATAGACATAGTTGCGTAATTAAATTAACTTCAACATTTTTGTGAACCTATTTGAAAACACTTGCCTTCAACTAACATTATTATAATTTTTTAAATACAGTCCTTATTTTCTGGAGATTGAAATAAAAAAAAAGTTAGTAAATTTTGATAAAATATGTAGTTGAAAAATTATGAATTTCAAGAAATATGTGATTAAAATTAATTATTAACTTTAACTTAAATTAATATTGAAATTAAAATTTTAATCTTTACCAAACATTGACTTTACTCTTTACTTAATTTTAAATACGTTAATTTTATTATTAAGATGTTTGACTAAACTTAAAATTCAATTATAATTGAAAATATAGTTGTTATTGAGTCTCACTCGTAATATAAGTCAATAATAACAGTTAGTTTTTTAATTTTAATTCGATTTTAATTTCTACCGAACACGCCCCAAATTAAGAAATCCCTCGGAAAATAACTCCAAATTCTTCAGGGAATGCACCTCAAACATTGATGTAAGTAGAACTTGGATCCCCCATTCTAATTGTTATGGCAATAAATCCCAAACTTATATAATTGGTGCAAATTGACCCAATAGTTTTGTCCAAGATTCCATTGACAGGTCTGTGTGCCACACAAGATAGCTCCCTCTCACCACCTTCGCCGCATGAAGAAGCCGTTGACATCGACTTAATGCCAAAAATATGTATAATACTTCAAGCATAAAAAACTCTAATTAATATATTTTATCGTCTTTCAAGTAGCGTTCACGTTGGCGTTTGAAGTTCACAAAATGCGCAAGCACTTCTACCATTGATAATGTATATTTCGTGGCTCAATATCACAAACTCTTGCCAATTGTGTCGCATGCTTGGAATTTTGATCTCAAATAAAAGAAGCTTAGAGAGAATATCAACGCCCTTTACATTTTTTTAATGGATAATTAAGGAATAAAGTTTTGTGACTAAAATGTCTTCAACTCAACTTCGGATGACGAACATCCAAAAGGATCAACGCGCATCAATCACGTATGGGGGATATAATTGTCAAAATATTTAGAATGAGGACTCAAGTGATACTAGCATTAACGTTTGGGGACCCCAGCTGCAAACTTTTCTAGATTGGAAAACGTGAGAAATCAGATACTGGATTGGAACAAATCTGTGGAACTAAGGCTGACACGTATTAGTGGACTCGCAATGGAAAAGGATGATCGTGTGGGCCCAGATGACGCAGCCCTTATCTTCTTATACTGTCACAACCACACGATTGAATTCTTTCTGCACGTGGGAACACGCTATTCAATTGCAGTCTGATGTGTTAAAGAAAGGTTGAACATATTCAAATAGCTCGTGTATGCAACAAAATTCACCACACACTTTCCGTTTGAATTTGAGTAGTACCTTTCGCAAGAAAAAAAAAAGTGGTGGGGACAAAAAGGGCAAATGTTTGTGTCGTCTACGAATGGGGGTAAGTGCAATGTTGTATGAATCCATTAAAATATTCAATTCGATTTGGAAACAAGGGTCACAAGTTAAATAGTCGTATAATTACGATAAAAAAAGTTTGAAAGGATCTGAATTCGATAATAGCTTTCTTCTTTTTCTTCAGGTCATGTGCTATAATTAAAAAATTGAGGTGAATTGTCTTGTTTTTGGTGGAAGGTCGTTGTCTTGTTTCGATTGTTTTAATCTTCAATCAAACCAATTAGAAAATTCTCAATTTGAACCAACTATTATATGAAATCGAATACTGATATAAATCAATAGAGTAGCTAGGACCAAATAAAGGTCGACCTGGCGATGGTCTAGACTCTAGATATGTAATAAATGAATACTTTAATATTATACAAAAATGAATACTTTCATGGCTTATTTAATGATAAGATAGCTGCAATTAGTGGTGGCAAACGGGGTCGAGCGATGCGACTCGGGCTCATCACGAGCACGAACTGAGCCCGCTTAGCTCTCCCACGGGCGAGCCCACGAGCTGGCTCGTCCAAGGAAGATGATTTATTTTATTTTATTTGTTCAAAAATGTTCATCTTTGAAAAAAATCGAAAAATGGACGAGCTCTCGAGCCAAACCTCGGCTAGGCCCATGAGCTCCGAGCCAAGCCGAGCTATAAACGAGCCACTAACTCAACTCGTGAGCTGAAATTAGTAGTGGCAAACGGGGCCGAGTGGCGCGACTCGAGCTTGTCAAATGACGAGCCCGAGCACGAGCCTAGCCCGCTTGGCTCTCCCACGAGTGAGCCAATGAGCTATTCCACGAGCCAGGCTCGTCCAAGGAAGAGGATTTATTTTTATTTTTATTTTTTTGTTTAAAAAGGTTCGTCTTTTAAAAAAAATCGAAAAATGGACGATCTCGCGAGTCGAGCTCGACCCACAAGGAACGAGCCGAGTTATAAACGAGCCACGAGCTCGACTCGTGCTCGTACGGACATCGCTCGACTTGGCCCATTGACATATCTGCCTGAAATGTCGACTAGCGTGACATGCACATTATTAAAAGTCAACATCAACATTGAATTTGAGTTGTACCTTGTGCTAGTAAAAAGTGGAAAATAAAGTTGTGGTGGGGACACAAAATGAAAATTTGTATACTTGATGATCTGG